GGAAAACTGTTGGAGACTAGGGCATTCGAATCACCATAACAATTCAATTATGGGTTATATGGAGTCAAGTAACAAGTCTAATTCAGATTCAAAGATTGATTCTAGCTAAAGTATGATTAGGCCATGGTGTTTGGTCCTAACCTTGTGTTCCTAATTCCCTAATTTGATCATTTGTTGTCTAACCTAAAATTAAGCATTAGGAACCCATTAAGCATAGAAGAACATTTTAAACAACCAAGCATGTATCTAATCCCTGTTGTCGAATGTCCATACATACTCTTCCTATTCATAGTTCAATTCGAATTAAAGCATGGTGTCTACTCTTAATTCAAACCAAGATAGTTAACAAACAAGTTCTAATGGTGATCAATCATTCAAACAAGCATGTTAATTTATAAGCATAATGAATAAGAACATGAATCATGAATCAAACTTGAAACTCCAAACTTATAAACCCAGAATATTCATGTTAGGTTACATCGAAACCCTAGTTATGGATTTAGCTACTCATAATGGAAAAGAAACTAAAACAGAAATGGGAAAACATAATGAATGCCATAAGAGTAGAAAAACCCTTTTCTGAAGATCTTGTGGTGTAAAGTGCTTCTTCAAGAGATTCTCCACTTCTAGAAGGATGTATGAAGGATATGGAGGTGATTTGGGATGAGTTTGAGTGAGAGGTGATTTGGCTTCATCAATTGATACGTTATAGTAGTCCATCTTGCAGTTCAGAATCTCCTCTTTCCAACCACATATTATTTGGGCCAATACAAGTTGGGAGGAAGAAGTTAAGGCCGAAACAAATTGCTAACTCAGTCTGCTCGTTTTTGCATCATTTTGCATCTTTTCCTATCCAAAGCCACCATTGCTACCTAAGGCCCAATGAACTGAATGATAAACAGAAAAGGGATTAAAAGCACAAGTTTAACTCAATAACATAACCAAATCATAAGCTAGAAGGGTACAAAATGATATACAATTATGAACTGATCATTCACCGTCGGGGTTTTTGGGACACCACCGCCACATCCGGCCACCGTTTTGGGTGGCACTAGTACCAAAAGAACCAGCGCGACGTCGCCTACCCATCCCGACCCTTCTCAGCCGCCACCGCTGCCTGTGCTCGCCGAAATATCGAGAAAAGTCGCCGGTTTTACCCAAAACTTCACGGAGCTCGTTCGGGTGATTCCTACAACCAAATCTTGCGATCTTGGTATGTTTTTCTAACCTCTCGACGTGTTTTAGCTGCTGGTTGTGTTAGTTTTAAGAAATTTCTGCGTTATAGTAGTTAATTAAGCGATTGAAAAATCTGCCGGTTTCGAGCTCCGTTTTCAGCCACTTCCGTCGACTTTTTGGGGTATGTCCAAGAACAAAAGTGACTCCAAATTAGGTGTATTACCTAGGGTAGGAGTCTTGGCCCGAAATTCTAAGATTTTACGGCGATGCGATATCGCTTTGGACACCCACGCGCTGCCAGCGCGTGTGGCGGCGCGTGGGCACTGTATCATAGGGGGATTTTGTCCCAATGCGATCCCCTGGTTGTCATGAGCGCGTAGGAATTTGCGGATCTCAATTCGGATAACGTTTGAACCCCGAACGGATTTTACATATTGTGTAATTTCCGGGTTCGATATGTTAGAACCGTTGGATCGCTTCCAATTTAATATGTATTGATCTAGGTATTCCTAGGATCGTATAGGAATTTGCGGATTGGGAATCGGAGCCGCGGATGTTCCGATTTAATAAGTTAAAGTTTGCGTTTTTCGATAACCGTCCGATCATGCGATTGCGAGCGATCCGACCGTCTGATCTGGACCAAACTTGTAGGATGGGTATCCTAGACCTGGTGGAACCTATAGGGGAGATCGTGGGTCCCGCGGGCCCGGTTGACCAAGATTGAGCTGTTTGACCCTCAGTTGACCGTGAGTCTTCCGAGGTAGTTTCACTCTTCGAGGAGTATTAGAACGACCCTTTAGGATGAGTTTCGACCGTCTTTTTTTTTATGTTGATTTTGAGGGTCATTGAGTTTATTTTTATGGTTTTGTGATGGAAATCTTATACTTTTGAATTTAATGGTTTATTTAAATTCCGTTTATATTTAATAGTTGAATTATTTATTTTTTGTAAAGTATTTGTGATATATGTGGGTTTGACATATTCGAGTGTCTTGAGTTTATATATAATAATTGAGAAAGTGCTATCTTTGTTGAGTTGTGTGGGGTACTTAGAATGTCAATTTTAGTGTTATTAGCACTATCTTAGGTACCTCCCCGGTTATGGGTTTTATGTTTGAGAATTTATTTTGCCCAGGCCCGTCGGAGTTTGTCCAGGCCCTTCGGAGATTTATTTTGCCCAGGCCCGTCGGAGTTTGTCCAGGGCCTTCGGATGTCTTCTTAATACGATGCCTTGGGAAAAATTGGTTTAAGGAAGGGAATATTACTTTATAATATTTATATAAGGATTACGAACTCCACCATCATACGTACCTCCCCCCTTGGATGATGATACTTGAAAACAGTGGATATGGACACTGGGATACATGGATATGGTTTGGATATGACGGAACCCGGGGCATACCTTAACGGGGTGTCGCTGTAGACCCTTAATTGGGTAGTCTGCGCGCGTAGGGCTGTTTTCAGGCGTACGGGTCTTGATTCTTCGTCCGTACGTGCTGGCTAAGAGTTATTCCCCCAGTTGGACGGCTCGTCCCTAGCCACATAGTCCGTTTGAGGGCTGATAATTGTGAGCTAGTCAACAATCCCCTGTTGGACTGTTTTCCCCAGTACATGATGTGCAACATCACATGTACCTTCCCTTGGATACTGATACATGGAAATTGTGGATATGGTATGGATATGACGGAACCCAGGGCATCCTTGACGGGATGTTGTTGTAGACCCTTGATTAGGTAGTCTGCGCGCGTAGGGCTGTTTTCAGGCGTACGGGTCTTGATTCTTCGTCCGTACGTCCTGGCTGAGAGTTAGTCCCCCAGTTGGACGGCTCGTCCCTAGCCACATGGGCGTTTGAGGCCGGATACTTGTGAGCTAGTCAACAATCCCCGGTTGGATTGTTTCCCCTGGTACATGATGATGGTGAGAGGTGGGTGTTATTATAATACATATATGTATATGTGGTTTTGATTCTGATCAGTGAGATTGTGCTTTGTGAGTACCCTGTACATGTATGAATGTGTAAGCCCTGGATTGGGAAGTGTTGTTCGGCAACATACGCCTTGGATAGGGTATGGTTGCATGGAAAGAATTGATATAAAGGGAAGAAATTGATAATGTGTTCCATGTACATACGCCTTGGATAGGGTATGGTTGCAGGGTTGATTTGATATAAATGAAGAGTTTGAGAATGTGTTCATTGTGTTTTGTTGGAATTTGGATGGTGATAAATCTAAAATGTATTGTTGGTTCTGCTTTAAATAATGGTATATTATCGGAGTTGTGGCCATTGATGATGAGAACTACGTGTGGCTTGATCCCTTGTCCAAGGGTACGTAGGCAGCCTGGGGTCTCACCTAAGTGCAGTCGCGAAATATTATTGCGTTAAAAAGGTTTGAACGATTCTAAGTATGTGATTGGGTTTTGATGTGATTCTTGGATTTGAATCCTGTTTGATGGTTTCAATGGTGATTGTAAAGTTTGAGACATTTAATTGTTTGGTTTGTGTATTGTTCGACTTAAGAACATTGCTGGTCCTGTTTGAATTATTTGAAGGCCGGAGGTCTATTTGGTATTTGCATGTTAATAACTTGTGCATGCTGCCTGTTGGGATATTAAAATGTGAATTTTGTGCATTTTTATTTTGTTATTTGATTTGACTGACATATATTAATTATCGTATTTATATTTGTATTTGTATTTGTATAATAAGTGAGTGTATAGCTTGTGTATTATATTCCTATAAAAAAAAATAATTTCTAATTACCTTTCATTTTCCAAAAAATCATTTAAAATATTATATTAGCCAATTTTACAACATATTGTTCAAAGTCAACAGTATTTCCATTCCTGAATTCAAATTCAAGCTCTGTCTCTGTGTAAATACATATGGCAAGGCCTTGCAAAGTTAATTATAAGTCCTTAAATGCGAGTAAGTATTGAGCAATTCCATCATTCCTTCCCACAACTGAATCCTTAATAGATCCTGAAAGAGGAAGAAGAAGAAAAAAAAAATAATAATAATAAATAAATAAATAAAAAGAGGGGGGAGAGAGAGAGAGAGAAGGGATAGATGCAAGAAAAAAAAAATTAAAGGAAACAGAGAGAAGAGAGAAGGAAAGAAAAGAAAAGGGAAGAAAAAAAAATGTTGAGTGTGGGCCATGGCCATACTGGTCATATCATATGCTTGGAAGATGAAAACATACGTGGGACATTCTAAGGGAAGAGAGAAAAGAGACAGTTTAAATGTGTATTGGAAAGTAAAATACATTTATTAAATATTTAATTACTCGGGAAAATTGAAAAGTTACCTTTAGCTGTCAACGACAATAAAGTGGTTTTATATTTAGGGTAATGATTTCCCCACTCCAATTTTTATCCATTTATACTTTTTTTTTAGTTATAAAATGGAGTGTAAGTGGATAAAATTGGAGATCGGAAATCACCACTCTATATTTATTATATTTAAATAATATGTAATCAATAAATTAAACACAAATAATGGTGACCAGCCACCCACTGTCACCAAAATCAATTTGTTGACTAAAAAACGTGACTATTGCCTTCTTTTCTTGTTGTGTTTATTCAATAGAGAAAAATGGAAAAGATATTGGTTGAGGAATTGAGAAATCAAATCAAATATATGACATGATGATAAATTTAGGCTTGACTGTGTCTAATAGCTTCTTCTCTTTCTAGTTTGTTTTTAATTAACCAATCATTATATATCAAGAATATGCATGCTATAATCTTACGAATATGAGAAAAATAAAGATATTGATAAAAAAGAAAAGATAGACGAGATGCATGCTAGAATTATAAAGATCGGAATTAATCCTTTATTAATGAAAATGTACTAAAAAAATGATTAAAACAATTCTGTTATCTAAAACGGGTACAAAATACAATCACTAACAATCATAAGAACATGTCCATCTCCCGAGTCTTCACAGAAAATATCTAAAAAAACAAACCCATGATGACAAGGGACAAGAAGGACAAAGTGAAACCCGCCACAACAGCTGGTGAAGAAGAATTATCAGGGGCCGGGGAAGACTCGGGAATAGCCTTCACAGTGGGCCCGCCAGCCGTGGACGGTGATGGTGACGGTGACGGGACTGGAGCACAAGCAGCAGGGTCGTTCGATGACGGTGATGGTGTGGTAGGAGTGGTAGTGGCCGGTGGTGGTGGTGGCGCAGAAGTTGGTGCAGAGGGCGAGGCTCCAGGGGCAGCGGCTGAGACGGTGATGGCTAGCTTCTGGCCTGACTGGCAGTGGGTGCCATAAGTGCAGATGAAGTAGTTGTCGCCTGCTGAGGTGAGCGAGACGTTGGCTGGGCCTGTTGTGATGGACGAGCCAATTGCGTTGTCCGAGCTGCATGAGTCGAACGATGCTTTGGGTACTTGTTGTACGTCGTGTGCGTTGGTGGCGAAGTTGAAAACTAAAGAATTATTAAGAAATAACGTCTAGTGTGAGAAAGAGAGGTAAGTAATTTTTAAGAAAAAAGAATAAACTAATACTTAAGTTATATTAATCTAAAGGGTAATTTAAAAATCAAGTAATCTCATGAGAATTAAGTCAGACCCAACGTTAAATAATGAGTTCCCCAATTGACTAGCAAAGACAATAGGTGAGAAGTTATAAATCAGAATAAAAAAGGAAATTAATTAGCAGACTTGAGAAATCTTACTGAGAATATCACCAACAACAAACTTGTTAGCAGATGCCCAAGTGACATATTGTTGCCCAGATCGTGGAATGGTCCAACCTAAGCTATCTCCAACCACATGCACTGTCTGTGCTGCTACACATTGCACAAACACGGCCACAAAGACACCAAAAACAACCACCATTTTGCTCTCCATCTCTCTCTCTCTCTGTGTGTCGCCTTTTGTCTCTTAATTTACCAAATTGTATTGTATAGGTCACTGATGAATAATGAGAATATATGGAAACGATACATGAATTCAAGCCTATAAATAAAAGCTCTGGAGTAGAAGAAAAACAAAAAGGCAAGACTTGCTAGAGTCTTAGACGCGGCGGCGGCTTTGACTATGGAGGACAAGAGGGTGTACATGCAATGCAATGCAATGCATGACCAGGCATGCACCGACAAGAAAGTACGCCGGTCATTTCAAATTGTATGCTTTTTTGCATTTGTTGTTGGAGTCCAATATGTGTGGAACCAAGACCCAAAGTGGAATGTTCCAACCCTTCTACTTTTCTACGTGGAGTTGCATAGAAGTTGGACTATTCAATCATGTAGTAGGTAACCATCAATGCAATTCGAGAATAAATAACTTTGATGATTTGGTTGTGAATATAATTATAATTTATTCTTTTTATTGATTGGGAAGGGCATTTGAATTTGGGGCAGTTATTTATTTATTTTGGATACAAGCGATTAGAGGAGGGGAGATTCGAACACAGTTACACAGAACCTCATATGGATGCAGGGGAGATTCAAACACAGAACTAGTTGCTTGCAATTATTCCTGTAATTAAGTAATTATAATTACAAATTATTGGTTAATTTAAGAAATATCTTTGAAATTATAACGGTCTCTAACTTAGAATTTATATTATTGTTTTAAATAATTCTAGTCATTGCATGTTTTGTTGTCCAATGTATCCCAATCAGTTTGTTACCAACTAAAACCTTGAAATTCTTCTTCCCACAAAAAAAAAAAACCTCAAAATTCCACGATTTTCAAACCCTTATATCAGGTTTAGTGTGTTGCCGGAATTACATTTATGGCCTTTTAATTGTTTTTCCTCTGTTTTGAGCTCAGTGCTCTCTTTTACACGAGCTCTGTTATATGCGAGCTATGAACACGTCTCCAAGCTCGCTTTTGCTGGATTCACGATGATGAGCACCAATTCATGAAGGTTGGGCACCTTTTGGCTACAACGACGAACAAGCTCACAGTGTTGTGTTCGTTAATGTGTAAGCTTCAGTATAGTGTTGGGCGCGGCTAAAATTAACCCTACATTTCTGAAGTTGACCAGGTGGAAATTCTCCATATTCTAGCTACGGGAGATGGCGGCGACGCCTACATCATTGACATGAAACTTTTCGAGCTCACTCACCCGCTATAGCTTGTAGAAGCTTTGGGATTATTGCCAAAGGACTGAAGAGCTTCAGAGTCCTTGGCGCTAATTATGAGAGGACAAAAGGCGTTGTCCATCCTGTAGGTCGTTGAGGTGAGAGTGTTCACCCATTTTGATTTAGTCCTATGATGGTAGAGTAAAGTTCCACATTGGCTTGAGAACCATTTCTGGTCAACGAGTCAACTTTCTTTTGATGTGCGAGCTTGCCACTGCTAATAGTAAAAAAAAGCCCCCTCAAACTTATGAAAAATAGATAACTTGCGCCCCAAGTTACTGACTTTAAAAAAGTGATTGTGAATTTGGGTGAGGAATATCTTCTAAGTAAGTTCTTTTCTTGCTTCAAACTGGTGAGGACTTCACAATTTTCTTGGCCAAATAAATTGGCTCAATTAATTGACCTATGAGATACTTTTTATTTTGTTATTTGATTTGACTGACATATATTAATTATCGTATTTATATTTGTATTTGTATTTGTATAATAAGTGAGTGTATAGCTTGTGTATTATATTCCTATAAAAAAAAATAATTTCTAATTACCTTTCATTTTCCAAAAAATCATTTAAAATGCAAGAAAAAAAAAATTAAAGGAAACAGAGAGAGAAGAGAGAAGGAAAGGAAAGAAAAGGGAAGAAAAAAAAATGTTGAGTGTGGGCCATGGCCATACTGGTCATATCATATGCTTGGAAGATGAAAACATACGTGGGACATTCTAAGGGAAGAGAGAAAAGAGACAGTTTAAATGTGTATTGGAAAGTAAAATACATTTATTAAATATTTAATTACTCGGGAAAATTGAAAAGTTACCTTTAGCTGTCAAGGACAATAAAGTGGTTTTATATTTAGGGTAATGATTTCCACACTCCAATTTTATCCATTTATACTCTTTTTTTAGTTATAAAATGGAGTGTAAGTGGATAAAATTGGAGATCGGAAATCACCACTCTATATTTATTATATTTAAATAATATGTAATCAATAAATTAAACACAAATAATGGTGACCAGCCACCCACTGTCACCAAAATCAATTTGTTGACTAAAAAACGTGACTATTGCCTTCTTTTCTTGTAGTGTTTATTCAACAGAGAAAAATGGAAAAGATATTGGTTGAGGAATTGAGAAATCAAATCAAATATATGACATGACGATAAATTTAGGCTTGACTGTGTCTAATAGCTTCTTCTCTTTCTAGTTTGTTTTTAATTAACCAATCATTATATATCAAGAATTTGTTGTTGGAGTCCAATATGTGTGGAACCAAGACCCAAAGTGGAATGTTCCAACCCTTCTACTTTTCTACGTGGAGTTGCATAGAAGTTGGACTATTCAATCATGTAGTAGGTAACCATCAATGCAATTCGAGAATAAATAACTTTGATGATTTGGTTGTGAATATAATTATAATTTATTCTTTTTATTGATTGGGAAGGGCATTTGAATTTGGGGCATTTATTTATTTATTTTGGATACAAGCGATTAGAGGAGGGGAGATTCGAACACAGTTACACAGAACCTCAGATGGATGCAGGGGAGATTCAAACACAGAACTAGTTGCTTGCAATTATTCCTGTAATTAAGTAATTATAATTACAAATTATTGGTTAATTTAAGAAATATCTTTGAAATTATAACGCTCTCTAACTTAGAATTTATATTATTGTTTTAAATAATTCTAGTCATTGCATGTTTTGTTGTCCAATGTATCCCAATCAGTTTGTTAGGCCATCTCCAGCCATGGGCTATTTCCTAAATATAGCCCTAAAATAATACCAAAACCATCTCTAGTCATGGGCTAAATAAAATGTTGGCCAAATTTGGAGGGCCACATTTGGCCCTTTAGCCCTCCAACCAGGCCATATGTAGCCCAGCTTTAGGAATGGGCCAAATTTGTAGTGGGACCCATACATATGCTTTTCAATAGCCATATCAAAGCACATCTGCTTTTTTATTTATTTATAATAATAAATGTGGTCAGCTTTTCAAATCTTTTCAAGTGTTGTTTAAAAAAAAATTATAAAAAAATCTCGTTTGGACTATTTTCATACAGAGAAGGAGAAACACACGTACCCAAGGAGCTTGTTGACAAAGACCACCCCCTAAGGCATTGCATCAGTTCGAATATATACAATATTTTAAAAAGAATTACTCCACCCTTGGGCCTTCGTATTCCATCAAGGAATATTGTGGTGTTTGATATATTTCTCTGCTCCAAAGGCTCCGAGCCAATATTTATCTCTCTCTCTCTGTCTCTCTCTCTCTTAGTGTTTGGTGTTGTTTAAAAAAATTGTAAAAAATTTTGTGTCATGACCGTTGGACGTCTCAGACCCTTGAAACCCTTCCATTTTTTTTTAATTGCCTTTGTTGGCTTTATTATTATTATTATTTTTTAAAAATTTATAAACCTAAAATTTGTCTATAAATACCTCTCCCACTCATTTCATTCCACACTTCTTACAAATTCTATCACATATAGTTGAATTAAATAGTATTTTAATTAAATTAAAAAATATATAGTTGTGGAATGTATGAGTGTTGTACCATAGTTTTTCTCAAAATAATAAAATATGAAGGACCCTAAAATATAGCCCTACATGGCTGGAGATGGAAAAATTTAGCCCAACACTATTCTTTAAAAAATTAATATTTTGGAGGACTAAATTTTTAGCCATGGACTACATTTAGTCCTATGGCTGGAGATGGCCTTACCAGCTAAGACCTTGAAATTCTTCTTCCCACAAAAAACAAAAACCTCAAAATTCCTTGATTTTCAAACCCTTACATCAGGTTTAGTGTGTTGCCGGAATCACATTTATGGCCTTTTAATTGTTTTTCCTCTTTTTTGAGCTCAGTGCTCTCTTTTACACGAGCTCTGTTTTGTCCAATGTCTCCAAGCTCACTTTTGCTGGATTCACGATGATGAGCACCAGTTCATGAAGGTTGGGCATGTTAGATATTTCATGAAATGAAATCAATAGAACAACAACACCATGAATCACATTAGAATAAGCCAATAAACTTAATAACAAATCAAGAACACTAACCTGGATTAGAAGAAGAAGACATGAAGGTCTGCTGGAGCCGTCTTCTATTCTTTGCAATACCAAATGCTAATATCTCAATAGAGCAGATAATATCTTAGCGTGTAATTGTAAGAATAGGGACTAGCCCTTTTATATTGATAACAAAACCTTAACTTTCCTATTATATTTTAGGGATTGCTAATCTTATGCCATAATTCATGGATATCTTACAATATAAGAAGGCCCATATAGCTTTATACATATTGGACTCCAATACATACGGTCCAACAAGCTATGTGAAATATATGTATTATAATCAATACTCAATTTTCTTCCAACAGGTCACCTTTTGGCTACAACGATGAAGAAGCTCACAGTGTTGTGTTCGTTAATGTGTAAGCTTCAGTATAGTGTTGGGCGCAGCTGAAATTAACCCTACATTTCTGCAGTTGACCAGGTGAAAATCTCCATATTCGAGCTACGGGAGATGGCGGCGACACCTACATCGTTGACATGAAACTTTTCAAGCTTACTTGCTCGCTATAGCTTGTAGAAGCTTTGCCATTATCACCAGAGGACTGAAGAGCTTCAGAGTCCTTGGCGCTAATTATGAGAGGACAAAAAGCGCTGTCCATTTTGTAAGTCGTTGAGGTGAGAGTGTGTTCACCCGTTTTGATTTAGTCCTATGATGGTAGAGTAAAGTTCCCCATTGGCTTGAGAACCATTTGTGGTCAACAAGTTAACTTTCTTTTAATGTGCGAGCGTGCCAAAAAAAACCCTAACAGACTTATGAAAAATAGATAACTTGCGC